GCAGGCTCGCCCCCCCCCCCCCCCGTACCTCCGCCGCCGCAGTTTTTTCTTCTTTAACATATTAACAAGCACTCACATAGCACAAGACTTTAGGCCACATTCACACCCGCACGTTCCGTGAACACATGTCACATTCACAACGTGCACAGCGTTTGCCGCATGTTCCTATTGATTTACACCTAAACATGCAACAAATGTCGAAAAAAACTAATGTAGCAGATCTTGCAACACATGTTTTGCGTTTGTGTGCATTTTCATGTGCACAAGTGCGGAGCAAAAACATGCATCTTCCTGGCCGTGTTTGGGGTGCCATTAGAAATGTATGGTCATGCAAGCCTGTTACCGTGTTTCCGGGAATGCGCACCAGACGTGCACAAATCCGTGCACTTTTGGTGTGCATTTACGTAATGCACAAGGGTGAAAGCAGGCTTACAGTTGAGCTCTGAAATAGCTGCGACTAATAGCTCTCATGCAGGACCAGGACCCCAGCTGTCAAATTAGCAGCAGGTTCCAATGGCTATACGCATGGTGTTCCCTCAGTAGTTATGAACTTAAAAAAAATATTGGGAATGAGCCCTGTATTGTTTATACATTACACTCTTTTAACCTCACTCCACTATCTCTAGTTTATGAAGTTTTCAATAAGAAATGCTACAGGAAGATATTTCTGTATGGATTGTTTCTATTTCACTGAATACATTGTTTCTATTTTACAACTATTCAGGCATTTTTATAACATCAGTAACACTGGCTACAAAGTACACAAAGTTTTAGTTGCGTGTTTGATTTGTAATGCAATCAATCCATTGGGCCTTCCCACTGCAAGTTAATTTGGAGATATTTCTTACATTATGGGAACGTGACTCTAATAAAACCTGACACAAGAACAACCATTATGGGGAATTATTTGGATTGTGTTTATGTAAATAACTGCTAGTAGTAAAACCATCCTACTCCCTAATGGTTTATTTTCTGTTCCTGGCCATTTCATTGGGAGTTCATTGGTTATGTCAAGACCATGCATTTTTTTAATCCTCTTATTACAAATATTTGTTTTCATGATGTGGGCTCTTCCTGTTTTAGTGATATTGCTAATAACCCACACATGGAATTCCACATGCTTCCATATTTGTATTTCATTACTCCTGTTTTTGCATAATTAGTTTAGCTGTAATAATGCATGTTTGAGTACAAAATGCTAAAATAAATGCTCAGATTGTGAAATAAAGAAAACTGTATTCCTATCACGAAAACAGTTAATAAGCTTAGTGGAAAGCTTACATTAATACACTGATTAGGCATTGTCTGTATCAACAAAAGTGTGTTGTTAGACATATTTGTGACCTATTAGCCAGTTATACAATGGAGAAATATTTATATTTCTGATGTTTTAGAAAAAGATTTACAGGAATTAATGGACACCTACTTGTAGCATTCATATACACTGAGTGGCCAGATTATTATGACCACCTGACGTTTGTAGGCAAATTAGCTATAATTTCGCACTGAAGTTGCCACAGGGCCAGACCATTATAAATAGGGAAGCGGGTTGTTTACCACGACAGTAGAAGTGATTTTTTCTGAAGATATGGGTAAACAATGCGATTTAACAGCCTTTGAACGTGGGATGATTGTTGGCACTCGGAGCCATGGAACGAGTATCAGCAAAACAGCAGAAATCGTTAAATGTTTAAGAGCAGCTGTTGTTAAAGTGTTTAAAGACTGGACTGCCAGCCGAAAATCTGGGTCTGAACGTGAGCATTGTGGCCGTCAGCGACTAGTCAATGTTAGGGCAGAACGGAGAGTGGCAAGACTGGTACAAGGCAACAGTGCATGAAATTACTGCAGATTTTAATCAGGGATCCTCTCAAATGATCTCTGAACGCACTGTTCGCCGTACACTGCATCATATTGAATATGGAAGCCGAAGGCCTGTTCGAACACCTTTGCTGTCTGCAGCTAACAAGATAAAATGTCTCCAATTCGCAAAGGAACACAAAGATTGGACAGTCGAGCATTGGAAAAAAAGTCATGTGGTCTGATGAATCGCGTTTCCATTTGCATCATGCAGATGGCAGAGTGAGAATTTGGCGGGAACAGCATGAAAGCATGCACCCCACATGCATGAGTACAACCCTTGGTGGTGGGGGCAGTGTTATGGTTTGGGGCATGTTTTCCTGGCATGATTTGGGCCCTTTAATTCGTGTGGAACAACGTCTGAACAGCACAACATACCAAAGTATTGTTGCTGAGCAAGTTAATCCTATCATGTTGATGGCGTATCCCAATGGAGATGGCTTCTTCCAACAAGACATTGTGCCATGCTATGGTGCTCGTATTGTGCAGGAGTGGTTTCAAGAACATGAGGGATAAATATACCTTGCTTAGGTTGCCCCCCCATCACCAGATCTCAAGCATTTGTGTGACGAAGTTGAAAGAGCCATCAGGCAGCTGGTTCCACAACCATATAATCTCACAGAACTGGACAGTGCTATTCATTAGGCATGGTGTCAGATTCCTCGCATCACCTTTCAACATCTCGTGGAGTCAATGCCAAGAAGAATCGCCGCAGTATTGAAGGCAAAAGTTGGCCCAACGAAGTACTGATGGGGGTGGTCATAATAATCTGGCCACTCAGTGTATTGTTAACAAGAGAAAACAGCTGACCTTATTTTGTGCACTTGTCCTTCTGTATACAACACCACTTATGCAACTTTGTTTTTCTAAATAAAGAATTTACAAATAAAATAAACAGAATGGCATTTAAAATAATGTAATTCTTTATAATGCTGCTGTTCGGAGTATCTAATTTTTTTCTAGGAATTATATTTCGAGCATGTCCCTTGTGGGTTTACAATTTATCTTTGAATTTTTTTTTTTTTTTAATTATTAAGGTTTGGTTTTGACTGTGCAGTATACATACGTGATCTATGATATGAATCTGATATTTATATGATTAAAAAGGAGTATTTATTTTTTGAGACACTACTTTTAATCCCCACATTTACATTATTTGTTTTTGTATGCAGTTATTGTGTAACAAGTAATAAACTGGCATGTTAATGTGCAGCATCATGACACACCAGATTCTAATGCTGGGCACACACCTTACAACCATCGCAAGACGTTTGTCTTGCGATGGTTGTAAGGTAATAAAAAAAAAACGTACGATCTGCCTATCTTGGACAGGCAGATCGTACTTGCGATGATCGCAAGCTCGCCCCGCTGACGGGCGGGCTTCCGATGGCCGTAATGTTGAACGGGCAGTGTGTGCTTGCACATACCGGCCCGTGCAGCATTTATGTTACGAACATGCCACACACCCGCCGACAATCGGACGTTTCTAGGCGGGTTTTCCAACATGTTCCTAAGATAAAAGTTGTGCGACCTTACAGTAGCAGAGGTCGCACGCCTTCCACACACCTTGCGATAATCGTACGGATTTCCCGTGATTATCATACGATTATCGCAAGGTGTGTGGGCACCTTAAGTGTCCCAGGAACCATACAATGTTTAGCACTCATGCATATAGCATTGTAAGGTTTTTTTTCCCTGTTATATGGCTTTTATGCATCTGTATTCTGGTAGTGTTTGTACTCATGTTTTAGGACTGTGTTCTTCCATGCAAAAAATATTAATGAAAGAACAAAACAAAAAAACCCCCACATTCTAAAGAAAGTTGGATGTACCCATAAATGCAAGACAATAAATACATACTCCAGTCATTCCTGAAAGCTTAAGTGAACACAGCCAACCTTGCCCAGTTGCTCCAGTGGTCTATTTGACTTTAATCTAGTGTTGCTGTTTCCCTAAGTAACATTTTTGAATGCACAAACTATTTTTTGAATCGGTACCATTTGTCATGTCACTTCAGTGCCCACAACAATATGTGGGGAAGTTTGTGGAATGTATAGTATACAGTTGGAATCCCTTATTTGTTACTTTCCTCTGCAACTGCCTTGCCCATATACTTCCACCTTCAACCTGAATCACATTCTAACTGAAAGAAAATGGTGGAGTTGACACTCGGAACAAAAGTTGCCCTTTGCCCATAGCCAATAGATTCCTTATTTAACGTTCAGTTACTAAAATACTAATAGTTTGCTCTGGGCTAGGGATCTACATTTTTTTTTTTCTAATTTTCCTTCCATCACTTTCCATAAGTCAGCCTTACTGTGTTATTGTCTAATCTGCAGGCAATAAGTGTTGGGTGATTAATGGCAGGTAACAGAAGATATAGTTTTCATGAATAATAAAAAGGGTGGACCTATTCTCAGTCATTTCATTTGTTCCTATTTATTGAACACAATTTGTTTTCAACCTTTGAATAGCACTTGTTTTTTTAGGAGGTCTGTTATGTATTTTATTTCATGTATCCTTTCTACAGACCACAATATTTTAAGATAATCGAAGAGTGTGTGTCCCAAATGGTTTTACATCGAAGTGGTGTGGACCCTGATTTCACTTACAGGAAAAGATTGGATATTGACTTCAGCGACTTGCTAGGTAAGTCCTATTATTCTACTAGAATACAGGAATTTGACTGCTGATGCTGCTTTTGTAGTTTATGTTGCCTGTAGATAATGTTCTTTTCTATCTACTGTTGTTTTGCAGATGTTTGTATTGATAGAGCGAAGACTGAAGAATTTGAAGAAACATATTTGGAAATGAAAAAAAAAGTGTGTACTATATTTGTTTCTATATATACTATGGAGTAAAAAAACAAAAAACAAAACACTGTTTATGTATGTAAAATATATTTAAAGAAAAACCACAGGCAAATAAAATCTTACCACTTGCAGGGCTACCCGCGCCCTGCAAAGGTTAAGTGCTCATTTTGCCTAGGGAGATAAAATAACAGAGATATAATCACCTGAACCACGATCCCCGCTGGATCCAAGACACTCTCCCCTTGCTGACCTTATTTCAGGCCGGAGCCACATCAGTTAAATCGTAACACTATCTGAAGACTCACTTCAGTTTGCGAGTAGGATGCTAATAGTGCACAGGCTGTGTCAAGAGAACTCAATGTGGCAATCTACTCTACTTAAGCTGCTTCTGCCCACTGCAACAACAAATATCATTCAACCTGATTGCCCCTTCGGTCTGGGTTTGTGTGCCTTATCTCCACCCTCTTAGGTCTGTGAGTTCCTTTATTGCGTGCATGGGTGTGCAGTTTTGTCAGCGCTTTGTAGGGGCACTTTTTTTTTCTCGGAGGTTCGCCGATGATCTCTCAGCTCAACCCCCCCAGCACCAGAGAAGCCGACAGTCTGCTTTACAATTGTAAACAGAGTCCCAGCGTCTTTTGCCGCCTGGAGTCTGTTTATACGGGCCTGGTGCCAGTGACGGACTATGGATGCACTGGTCACTAAGGGGTTAAATAGCCCTTTTTGGTACATCAGCATGTCTAAATATTGCCCTAACTTTATGTCTAACATTAGTTCACCCCAAGGAGATTTTCTTAATTTTTCTGGATGTGTATATTTAAATACTGTATATATGTAACTCTTGATTTACGCCAGGGTTCGGTTACAGAAAGTATGGTTGCAAATGGATACCAAAGTAAATAGAAACCTGTATATAATGCGAGTCAGTGGGAAGTGAGGTAGTTAGGTTCCAGGCCTCTTTCAAAAATTACATAAGTGACACAATGCACTATATTTAAAGCTTTGAAATGGATATTTATACTGCTCCAAGGGTACCCCTGTGTTCTCCAAGTTTAACCCTGTGCTCCTCCATATCTCCAAGTTTAACCCTGTGCTCCTCCATATCTCCAAATTTACCCCTGTGCTCCTCCATATCTCCAAATTTACCCCTGTGCTCCTCCATATCTCCAAATTTACCCCTGTGCTCCTCCATATCTCCAAATTTACCCCTGTGCTCCTCCATATCTCCAAATTTACCCCTGTGCTCCTCCATATCTCCAAATTTACCCCTGTGCTCCTCCATATCTCCAAATTTACCCCTGTGCTCCTCCATATCTCCAAATTTACCCCTGTGCTCCTCCATATCTCCAAATTTACCCCTGTGCTCCTCCATATCTCCAAATTTACCCCTGTGCTCCTCCATATCTCCAAATTTACCCCTGTGCTCCTCCATATCTCCAAATTTACCCCTGTGCTCCTCCATATCTCCAAATTTACCCCTGTGCTCCTCCATATCTCCAAATTTACCCCTGTGCTCCTCCATATCTCCAAATTTACCCCTGTGCTCCTCCATATCTCCAAATTTACCCCTGTGCTCCTCCATATCTCCAAATTTACCCCTGTGCTCCTCCATATCTCCAAATTTACCCCTGTGCTCCTCCATATCTCCAAATTTACCCCTGTGCTCCTCCATATCTCCAAATTTACCCCTGTGCTCCTCCATATCTCCAAATTTACCCCTGTGCTCCTCCATATCTCCAAATTTACCCCTGTGCTCCTCCATATCTCCAAATTTACCCCTGTGCTCCTCCATATCTCCAAATTTACCCCTGTGCTCCTCCATATCTCCAAATTTACCCCTGTGCTCCTCCATATCTCCAAATTTACCCCTGTGCTCCTCCATATCTCCAAATTTACCCCTGTGCTCCTCCATATCTCCAAATTTACCCCTGTGCTCCTCCATATCTCCAAATTTACCCCTGTGCTCCTCCATATCTCCAAATTTACCCCTGTGCTCCTCCATATCTCCAAATTTACCCCTGTGCTCCTCCATATCTCCAAATTTACCCCTGTGCTCCTCCATATCTCCAAATTTACCCCTGTGCTCCTCCATATCTCCAAATTTACCCCTGTGCTCCTCCATATCTCCAAATTTACCCCTGTGCTCCTCCATATCTCCAAATTTACCCCTGTGCTCCTCCATATCTCCAAATTTACCCCTGTGCTCCTCCATATCTCCAAATTTACCCCTGTGCTCCTCCATATCTCCAAATTTACCCCTGTGCTCCTCCATATCTCCAAATTTACCCCTGTGCTCCTCCATATCTCCAAATTTACCCCTGTGCTCCTCCATATCTCCAAATTTACCCCTGTGCTCCTCCATATCTCCAAATTTACCCCTGTGCTCCTCCATATCTCCAAATTTACCCCTGTGCTCCTCCATATCTCCAAATTTAACCCTGTGCTCCTCCATATCTCCAGATTTAACCCTGTGCTCCTCCATATCTCCAGGTTTAACCCTGTGCTCCTCCATATCTCCAGGTTTAACCCTGTGCTCCTCCATATCTTCAGGTTTAACCCTGTGCTCCTCCATATCTTCAGGTTTAAACCTGTGCTCCTCCATATCTCCAAGTTTAACCCTGTGCTCCTCCATATCTCCAGGTTTAACCCTGTGCTCTTCTTTAGCTCCAAGTGTACCCCATGTGCCTTCAGCATGATTCCATATGTGCCTATGTACATCTCCATCTGTTATTCTGTGCCACCAGCACATCTCCATATGTGCACCACCATACCTCCAAGTGCCCCTCTGTAGGTGTCCACAGTTCTTTGATCCCCTTCCTGTGCTGCAATCCTCCACCTGTACCCCAATCTAGCTGCCAGAGACACTGCACAGTACTGTGCTGTTGTATTAAAGGAGATCTATGAGGTGAGTGATTTTCACTTAACCTCATAGTTCGAGCCAACGTGTGACAATTAAACTGTCACATATTGGCTCAATAGATTGGGAAGTGAGCGAACACATACCGTCGCTCACTCACTTCACAATCATGTCCCTGCAAAGAGCTGTGACGTCACTCACGGCTCCCTGCAGGGATTCTCCCCCTCCCCGCTCCGATCCTCCAGCGCTGACTGACGGGATGGATGGGGGAGGGGGCAGGTACAGCTGCCTCTGCCTCTAGATAGGCAGAGCCAGCTGTCAATCACGCAGCTGGGTGGATCTCGACTGTAATGTCGGGATCCATCCCGGTTGCGGCGGTCTCAGTATACCGCGAGCCTTAGCTCGCGATATACTAAGCTTTGGGTCACGGGAGGAAGCTAGTTTATGTCCTCCCATGACCCTTAGGAGAACTATGGGGAAAAACACTGACCCCATAGTTTTCCTTTAAATCCACCTGCAGTTGGACTGTATAGTGTTTCACTGCAGAAAAGAAATGGGGCCAATCACACGCCTCTCTGAAGGTATGGCATGATGAATAAGTATCTGCAAACAAACTGCCTCCTGCTACAGCTATTTCAAATTTTGACTCATCTGTCCAGGGTACCTGCTGCCATTTTCCTGCGGCCTTGCTGCTAAAAAGCCATACCTCCAACTTGGAAACAAGGCTAAGCGACTCAACTGTGCATGCAAAAATTAGGAACTGTAGTGCAGAAAAATTGCAGCAGGTGCTCTGGACTGATGAGTCAAAATTTGAAATATTTGTCTGTAGCAGGAGGCAGTTATTCGCCAAAGGGCTGGGGAGCGGTACAATAATAAGTGTCTACAGCAACAGTGAAACATGGTGGATGTTCCTTGCAAGTCTGGGGCTGCATTTCTGCAAATGGAGTTGGAGACTTGGTCAGGATCAATGATGTCCTCAATGCTGAGAAATACAAGCAGGTGCTTATCCATCATGAAATACCATCAGGGAGACATTTGATTGACCCCATACTTTATTCAGTAGCAGAACAAAGGCACCAAACATACAGCCAATGCCATTAAGAACTATATTTGGCATCATTAAGAACTATCTTTGGCGTAACAAAGAATAAGGAGCCCTGGCATTAATGGTTTGGCCACCACCTGCTCTCAAAATCATCAAGTCTGTCTGGGATTATTTGAAGAAACAGAAGGATTTGAGGCAGCCTACATCCACAGAAGGTCTATGGTTAGTTCCCCAAGATGTTTGGAACAACCTACCTGCCGAGTTCCTTCAAAAACTGTGTGCAAGTCTACCTATAATAATTGATAATGTTTTGAGGGCAAAGAGTTATCACACCAAATATTGATTTGATATGAATATCTCTTCTGTTGATTTACTTTCTAATTTTGTTCATTGATAAAAAAATTAACTAACACTTTTATTTCTGAAAGAATTCTTATATGGCATTTTTACACTCCTGCCTAAACATTTTGCACAGTATTGTATTTATTTGGAAATCTTATTTCAGGGGCATAACTACAAATCAGAGGGGATCATAGGGGCATTTTTATGGGGCCCCCTCTTCAAAGAGAAAGAGAAAAATAAAAGGGCATTTTAGTGATATAGCATAGGTTCTGTGCTAAAATATATATCTTTCTACCATAAGTTTTGGTGATCAGTAGGAGGAAGAATGTCCCTTGTCATTAGTGGGAGGAAAAATGTCCCCTAATGTTAGTGGTTAGTAGGAGAAAAAAAATGTCCCCTACATTGGTGGTCAGTAGGAGAAAGAAAACTCTCTTATATGTATGGTCAGTAGGAGGAAAAATGCCCCCCCTTACATTGGTGTTCTGTAGAAGGAAGAATGACCCCCTCATGTAGGTGTTTAGTAGAAGGAAAATTGCTCAATTGCATTGGTTGTCAGTAGGATGAAGAATGCCCCCCACATTGTGTTGGCTAAATGTTAAGATGAAGCACTGAGATCTTGAGGAATGCTAAATTATGTTTTACTTGCTAAGGAGGACATTACATCAGAATACAGCATTGTGCAGGACACATATAGATAGGAAAAATTTGTGTTTATCATAGATGAGCATGCATAAAGAAAACTAACATTGCACTATTGCTGTGATTTTA